GTTGAGGAGGGCTCAATACAATTTCAATTGAAGGATCTAGCTATGCATCCAAGAAAATGGCTGACATCGAACATGTTTTGTCATTCCATCATCATCTACCGTATCTATATAACTATCATTCAGTTTCAATAAAGAGAATTATGTCTTTCCTACGTACGTCTTTACACTTTTGGCGCGTTAACAAAAAATAAATCTAATGAAATAAAATGATATTCAATACTTCGCGTCGCGACAGATTTTAAAATTTTACTTTCAATATTGATATCCTAGGTAAAAGAATTGGCATAATTATTAGAGAAAGCCATTTCTTGTAAAAGGGCAGATTTACTGCGATACGTCTAAAATATTAAGTCGCAACGAAACGGAAAACATTTTTTTGCGTAAAAACTATGATTGCTACAAAATTTTACCAAGAGCATGAAAATCTCGAAAAAGGACTGATGCATAAAAAAAATGAATTGATTTCAGCGACCAAATAAAATGTTCTGGTAATTCTTGTGCCAAGACACTCAAGAATTTATCACTTGCCCAAAGCGGATTGATGCGGTTGCTTCATCAAAACATAAGTCTTATTTAGGAACAAGTTCACAGCAAGTTTAATTAAAATCCATAGTAACATTCTCCAGATATTTCAAAAAACATACTTTTTTTCAAGAACTGACAATCAATAGCGGATGAGCCAGACATTTTTTCTTACTGGAAGTTAAGTCAGATCGTCTTCTTTTGCGCCAAAGAATGTCGCAGTACCTTTTTGATCATGTGCTTACGGTACACCCTACATACTAATAACGTAAAATGTGAGATTTTGTGTACGTTTACAGGTAATTAACAGTTTTTTTTTTTTTCGAAAAAAATTAGGACTGAAAATGTTATTTAAAATAAATATGCGCAATTTCATAAGAAACAGGAAGAAAGAAAGTTAACAATTACAGGATAAGGTAAAACAGAAAACCCTAACGGAATTAAGAAAAAGGCAATTAACATTAAATATAAATACTACACAAAATAGAGCAAGCAAAATATATAATCGAGATAAAAGAACTTAAGTATAAACAATAACAGACAAATAAAATTCACTACTGAATATCTCAAGCCAAACGGTTATTCGTATGTGGGAGTAAGATTCAAGTTCAATTTAAAGTTAACAATCCTCGAGCTTCAGTCGAACCGGATCCCCATTCTACCTTCGCAATTTGTAAATCAGCATTTACAGGGACCGAACATGAGTCCTACATGAGGATCTTCTAAAAGTACCATAACAAGGTGCATTTGAAATTCTAATTTTAATGGAGAACGGCTAGGCCTATCTACCGCATCCGTCTAATCCTGGCCGCGGTAATGAGGTGATACAACATCGGCCGCATGGCTTGAGCCGGATGGGAATATCATCGCTGAGTAATATGTGGACACTAATCCAACGAGAAGTTCTTGATCAGTCTCAATTGAAAAATGTTTTTCTTGTATTTGTATCTGCCGAGTGATGTATTTTCATTAGGATTATAAGGTTTTAACATTAATTTTATGTTAAACTCATTTTAATTCATTCTAACAACTGTATTAAATTTTAATTATATAACTTGACCAAATTTCTAGTGTGCGTTAAAATAACTTGATAAACAAGTTAATTATTAAAAATAAAAAGTAACTTACCCAAATAATAACCCAGGATACTCGTATTAAAGTCACTAGAAACAATTTGACATTCTTATACGTTTATATGCGGGCTGTTTCTTAGGTAGAGGTATATTTTGTGGCCAAAAATAGGTTTTTTTTGTTACATAAATGTGGGGTCTTAGGACAGCCATTGTCCAACTACAGAGTGTCAAAATTAAAAAAAAAATAAGTTTTTAATTTTTAATTTCTAAACCGCTTGAGATGATTTAACCAAATTCGGTGTACATATTATTTAATATGACCGTAGGTATGAAACAGAAAATTACCAGCTTTAGAAACTTACCAGTAGTGGAAGTGTGGGTATTATCGATCATTATTTGCCAAAAAAATGTATCCCCCTGTGTAATATTAGAAATAAAATAGGTCAACATATGCGTCATTGAAGTATCTTCAATTTTTGTGTCTTAGCACTTTTTTGTATTCCAAACCGATTAACAACAAAATTAATTTATTTGATTAACACCCAGTTTCACAGTTAACTAGCAGTTAATTCCTTACCTGAAGATTTGTAGTTAAAGTTAACCAATAAAGAGGTAATTGTCATATTAAAAAAATAAATCAAAAATGAATTTTGAAAGATTACAGGTAAATGCTTACAGTAGTGATGAGGATGATAGGAGACCACGAATTTTCAGACAATTGCCAAATTTGTTTGAAAACCCAAAAGACTTTTTCACAAGATTTAAGCTTTCCCCACGTACAGTAGAAAATTTATTACAAGAAATACAGGATCAGTGTACGCAAAGGTGCATTGTTCCATATTTCTATATATTTGAAAATTACAACACCTATTTTTTTATTTTCTTATGTAGAAATAACTATCTCAATGCCAGAGAACAGCAACTTTTGACATTAAATTTTTTTCCAATGGATCTTTTCTAAGAAACTCTACTACTAACAAATTTTCCTCTTCACATGTAAAATTGACACAGCGCTTCTTATTGCACTCATCTTCCAAGCTAATAAATTAAAAAGCACAGTATATTATTCTAAATAATACGTAAATTAAGTAGACAGATACTGAAAACTTACTTTCTCACACAAATAAGCGACTGTCACAAAATAATATGTTATTTCCTCCTCTTCTTCTAAATTTTGTCACTTGTCCATTGTAATAAATTCGTATTAACACTCTAAAAATCAGCTTAACCCCAGGTTGACTTACTTGAAGACGTAATGGCTGTTGTGAAACAGTTGAATTATCTAACCACAAGTTAACTCTTGGGTCAAGGTTAACATACCAAAAAGATAACCAACTGGATTGTGAAACTGGCCCTAAGTGCATTTTTAATTACTTTACTATGATTCAGCCAAAATACATGCTTCAGGTCTTCTTGAAATTGTAACTCGAACACGTGCAAAAATTCCAGGAGTAGCTCTTATCACACCACAACCAGTTATAATTTGTTGACGTAAGTGCTCCTCAGATTCAATGTGAACATTGTATACTAATGTCGTGAGATGTCCCCAAACAAAAAAATCAATAGAGTTCATATCGGGTGATCTCGGTGGCCAAGGTTGACCTGGTTCTTGAGTGCCCCGTCCAATCACTTTATTACCGAATCTTTCATTTAAAAATTCACGAACAGTCAAACGAAAATGTGGAGGAGTCCCGTCGTGCATAAACCACATTCTTTCTCTTAGCGCATAGGGAACATCAAGTAGTTCAGGTAAAACGTTTTCCAGAAAATGTCTGTAGGAGGTACTGGTTAAAGTTCTTGGTAAAAAGTAAAACCCAACAAGAAAATTATACCCACCCATACATTCAAAGAAAACTAATGTTGAAATTGAGATTTCATTATGGCATGAGGATATTGTGGAAGTTCATTATAGCATCTCAGGAAAAATTAGCTTCGTTGGTAAGCAATATGCCAGCGGTAAAGTCGACATTTTGTTCAAATTTTTGCAAAATCCAGTGCCAATTTGTAGACAAGCAGAATAAGTCTTGCAGCAGTAAGGCTTGAACCCTTTGTGATACCGGTATAATTGTTGATGCTTCAGAACGGACCAAACTAATTTATGATTCATTAAGACTTGCAGCGATCTTCCTAATACTAGTATTTGGATTTTCTTCAGTTTCTTGTAAAATAGCTTCTTCCAACTCAGGGATTCTAACACTCAAAGGGCTTCCAGGAATTGGACCTTTCTGAAATGAGCCTGACTTCGAAAGACGTTGAAAAACATTTCTGAACATTTTTGGATTTGGAGTTGGGTGATTTGGAAATCTTTCCATATAAATTCGCCTAACCTCAGTAGGTACCATTTTCATCTGCAAGGCCATAAATATTGTAAACCTAATTGGCCATTTCAGCATTTGAATATGCATAAGCCATTATTAAAACTTAAATATTTTTTAAATAATTTGACAATACACAATATTAAATAATATGACGGCTTTTTATTATTATTGTTTTGCATGGCCTCCCTAATATATGTTTAAGTAATTTAAGTAACTGTAAAAATGCACTTGATCAAAAAAATCAATTTTGTTAGATATTAATCGATTTGGAATACAAAAAAGTGTAAAGAAACAAACAATAAAGGTAATACAAGGACGCATATGATGACCTATTTTATTTGTAATATTATACAGGGTGGTATATATTTTTTTGGCAAATAATGGTGGATGATACCCACACCTCCGCCACTGGTAAGTTCCAAAAGCTGGTAATTTGTTTATTCATACCTATTGTCATACTAAATATGGACACCGAATATAGTTAAATTATCTCAAGCGATTTAGAAATAAAAAATAAAAAATTGATTTTTTTTTTAAATTTTTGACACGCTATCCTAAGACCCCACATAACAAAAAACCCTTCTTTTTGGTCACAGAATACGCTCTTGGATTTTTGACCTCTACGTAAGAAACATCCTGTATATGACCAGCTCTCCGTCTATCAGTGCTTCAAATATAATTATTGGAAAGTGATATATATATATTGTTTTGTAAACAAATTTGTAAAAATAATTTCCAAAATCCAAGTTTTATTTCTCCGACCGACATAATATTCTATTATTATTACGTCGTTATAATATTTGTTGCCAACAGGCTACAAGTTTCCTTTAATTTTGCTCTAATGGTATTAATCTAGTTATTTACTGTAACTACTAGTATAATTCAATGCTGGTCGAGGCATTAGTCTGCAGAGTTTCGCTAAGTGGAGACATAGGTCTTGCTTTCATAGTACCTACCAAATAACAGGCGTTGCCCATACTCATGCTCTTTTTTAAATATCATAAATGTTTCGCTTTTTTCTAGTCCATAATTGAAGGATATCAAGTATTCAGATGGTGTATCAATCAATTTAATCTTTGTGCTTCAGATTGTGTTCTACAAACCAGAAAATGTAGGTTATCGTTACAAGTACGCGGAACCTAGCACGGACGTAAGCTACACGCCGCACTACCAGTGGGAGCTGTTGGAATGGTCCGACTGTTCAGCAAAATGCGGTGGTGGTGAACAAACCGCCAAATACGACTGTGTGGAAGACAAAGCGGGCAAGGTGAGCGGCAACTTTTGCATGGGGATGGAAAAGCCGGAATCTTCCACGAAGAAGTGCAACGAGGATCCATGCAAGACCAAGTGAGAAGATGCGATCGGTAAACATATAAAAACATTTTAAAAATGTCTTGGTTTCCAGGTGGAAAGTGGGGAAGTGGAGTAAGTGCCGTGCCTGTAAGAACCGTTCTGGTGTGAGGATGCGAGAAGTTGTGTGCGTCAAAGAGTCGCCTAGGGCAGGTGCCGAGGATATCCTTGAAGAAGATAAGAAATGCAAGGAGCCCAAGCCCGGCACCATGGAGTTGTGTGACTCACACACGAAGTGCAAAACACGAGACGTCGGCGAGAGGGATGACGTTCCAAGCATCGATATACCTAGCGCTTTGATGGAGGACGTCTGGTCGCAGATTAGTAGAAGAACTAGAGGAAATCAGGAAGCGGTATAGACTTTATTCGCTTATTATTATCTTTGCAGGCTGCCGTGGCAACTGTCAATAGCTGATCTACATATTTCCAGGCTGGTTGCTGCATCGTCGACGTTTTGAGATGATCTCTTTTTGGGGAGAATCTCTAAAACAATTTTAGAGCTTCATTTATAGAATCCCATCCCAATATGTCTCTCAAAACTTCAAGAAGTTTAAACTGACGATGTGTTAACCAGCCAAGGAATTATTCAATCTGTATTATTATCTCGGCTTCACACTTGCGTTGTTCATATACGAATATTCAATATTCGGGCAATTTAAAAAAGTTTCCTTGGCAGTTATTTATATGAGGTGTCCCTAAACTTAGCGGCATAATTTTAGGAGAATGCTAAACGAATCAAAGGATGAAAATCTAATTATATTTTTCTCTACTAATCGTATCTGTTTGTTATAATATGGTTGTATTATATAACGTATACTTTGCAGGTTGTATCTCAACTTAGAAAGTGTTTAGAAAACCATCACCTTACTAATCTACTATAAAGAAATAGAGCCGCAGTGTGCATATGCCACTTATTCTATTTTGCAGGGGGATATCCTCAAAAGACTCAAATAAATTGTTGGTCCAAAAATTAATTTAAAAGGCACTCACAAATATCAACTCGTGTTGCTTTATCTTTCGGAAAGACACTTGTTGTAAGTGGTATGCGCAAAGGAGCTGTTCCGTTCATTCAAATTCTCCACGAAATGTTTTCCTCCACTATCTGCAGAATGTTTTCTTCAATTGCAACTGTTCATCTACTACTTGTTCCTTTCATGTTTAGACACAAACAATTTCAGTTCATAACAAAGACGTTCGACTGCTTAAAGTGTTTTCTTATTGGGTTTGATTCTATTAGGAAATTTTTCCCTGTACAACTTTGCTAATTCTGCTGAATTTCTCCAAAGATTTTCACAGTATCAAAAATATATTCGTATATTCACTGGTAATGTTTCATAATTATTGGGTAAAGAGAACCTTTTCGGAAAAGGTTTATGTATTTTTGACGATTCAAATGTATTTCTTTTTAAGTACTTGATTTTAGTACACTATTGTTTCATGGATGATAAAATGATGATGATAATGGTGATAAAAGTGTAACTTATTGTAGTTTTATAACATTTTCAGTTTATATCTTTATGTCTTCTACCTTTTTATTATTTATTAAAATTCAAATTAGATTATCATCTTTCAGTCACTTCTCTTCATCTTAAAATTGTGCCACTAAGTCTAGGGCCATTTTGTATATTTGGTCATACACTGTGTTCCTTCCATTTTGAATTTACAACAAATTTAACAAATTCAACAAATTTAATATCAAATGCAAATGATCAGTTTTTAGACAAGTGTGGACAGTCTGTTTAATCAATATGAATATTTACTAATGAATATCATAAATATTTGTCTATGCAAGCGAATATTTGTAGAATTCAGGAATATGTAACTTCTGTTATAACTTCTTTAATGTAAATTATTGACAAAAAAATTATTCAAATATTATAGGACCTGGACAATCTAGTTAACCAACTCAACTCTAACTGTTCCATCAGCGACGCAACTGGCAAGAACAAGACCAAGAACGCTACAATTCACTTCAACGTCGGCGCTATTATTCAGGACAGGATACCCGCCGAAGAAATCAAGCTAATTCGGGCGCCTCTGAGGAAATCTCACACCGCATTCAACTTATCGGACCAGGCATACGAATCTATGGGAGATACAGTTGAGGACGTGCTGGATACTAGCCATGCAGAGATAATTACAGGTGATGGCAATTACAAACATTACACAGCGTCTGATAAGGAAGTAGAGAAAAACTGTTAGGACTTCCTTCTTTCGACAACAGTTGTTCCTAAAATGATCACTCATTGTCTTACAATACTTTAAAAATGAGTATGGAGCTTAGCTTATGATCAATTATTACTGCAGAACCGTTGAAGACGTAGACTTCAAATATTGGGGCATTGTAATTTCCTCTTAGTTATCTACGTACAAAATTTGAAAGCTAACTAATTGTACCGGTATCAATATGAGTTTCAACCTACGTTAACCAAAACTATAAAAAAGATTCTCTTCAATCAAATTTTCTTGAGAATTCAACAAATCCAAAACTACCAAATTTCGGTACTACCTGCACCTTTTTGTTCAAATTTTACACATGTGGGTAGCTGTTATAGGGAAATTGCACTGTCTATAGTCTAAGTCTTCATGGTACTAGATGGAGTTGATTAAGAACTATGTTCTACGTGCAGCTTTTGAAAGATTTCTAGAAGTCTTTAGCCTCTAGGTAGCTTAATTTATAAGTCTAATAGTTTGTATCTACAGTGGTTCTAGACTTGATGAAAAGCTACTACAAGTCAAATCCTTGAAGAATTATTGAGCCCCTAGGGAAAAATATGCCTATTTTTTTTTCGTTTTGACGAGAACAAATCAGTTACAAAAATTTATCATTAAGTCAAAACAAAAAGAAAAAATTTCGGAGTATTTTCTATTTATAGATATTAGCCTACAAAATTACAACAAGATGTTTTAGCATTAATTGACTAAAACAATAATTTGAATTTGGGTGATTAAAATGAGAAGAACAGTGTATGAAAGAATATTCGGCAATGAAATACATTTTTTAAAATATCTCTAAAGACGTTTGTTATAAGGCGATGCAACTTATAGTGCTTATAACACACAGTGGTTTTTTTCTGAAAAAAAAAGATCTCTTCATGCTTTAACAAATTGATAGTCTTTTAGTTATTTTAGTTAGCTGTCAACGACTGAACAATTTCCGGGATGATTGACATCTCATAGGTTTAGAGTTTCGCGAGATATGTCGCTCTCTTCTTCGGATAAGTCGAAGTGAGGGCTAACGCTTGCCCACAAATTTTGACATTTATAGTCGTTGTGTTTCACGTCTATTTAAATTAGAGTTAAACTGATTATCGTTTGTATAACACGTTTTTAGAATTGAACCATACTTCTGATCAACGGGCATACAAACGGACTTTAAAGTTCTTGAAACGCTAATTTAAATTCCAATATGTTGTTTGCACAATCCTTTAAAGGACTGTCTTATTTCAACCACCCAAATTAAAATTTTAAATTTAGCCATTTAATCGCGTCACTTTGTACAAGGAAAATGGTTTTAAGAAAATGAAACACAAAAAGGAAACACACGCTTAACATACTTAATCTTTTATCACTTTTGACGCCTTGCTATTTTAAACAATGTTACTTCAGCGCTGAAAGTAAATACGCATTGACAATTTAGCTAACAGGATACCTTGATGAATTTCAGGAAATAAAGCCGCGAAGCTGATGAAGGAGATGGAACACAGGCTCGATAACGAGACGGGGAACGCGGAAGAACAACCGAAAAAAGAGACGACGAAGAAAACGGCAAGCAAAGGACATAAAAAGGGTCACGGAGCCCATAAGGAGCGAAAACAATCGCACTGATGTATTTAACAAAGGATGTAATCCTGCCGGATTTGCAAAGAAGAAAGTTTATTCGGTACAGCTCCGTGAGAGGCAAGTTGTATAGGTGTAGGAGTCATATTGTAATTAATTTTAATAAACCATTGAAATCTACATTCAATTCCATATACTGCAAGAAAAATTTTAAGTTACATTAACAAACAAAAATAAAGTTATTATAAAAACTTAATTAATATTTCTTTTAACAACTGATTTTGCTAAATTACACTAACCATGTGGTAACATGTTCTCCATTTCTTTAATGTGCATTTTGTCTCATTTATTTTTCAGGAACATAGAAATGATAAAAATTTGTAAAAAAGAATTTTAAAGTTAAAAATTAAAAAAAAAACGAAGTGAAATGCTGCCGAAACTAAATCCATTAAATAGTGACAAAGAAATTTAAACAGGAAAAATATACAGTTTAACATAAATACGTCCTTAAACTACAATTAAAACAAATGTAATTTAAAAATTACATATTGGTAGATGTAAGGGGTGTTAGAAATACATAAATAAGGGGAACAATATCTCACAGAACTAAGGTCGCTTAATCACAAGAGAATCAAGTATAAACGATAGTACATTAAGCATTAAGAACGGTAAGGGTAATTTACCGTTCGAAGACAATGTTTGGAGGCTGAGCGAAGCGAAGCCTCCAATTTTGTCTGAGAACGGTATAACTCTTAACGTTCGTGATGCTTATACTATTTTTTGCATGATCGCAATAAATGAAAACGAAATTATATATACGTATTTAATTTTTTATGTAACGTTAAAAATTACGTTTCTGAATAAATTTGCGAAGCAGGTTTTTTGAAATCTACTGATGTTTATTGTTGCCACGGCTTTCTTAATTGATGAAATTGATAGTTCTAGAATAGAATAGAAATTGAAAAAACATGTACTGCTCCAATTTCTGGAAGCAATTGTACAAACTGTACATTTAATTTCAACATTAATAAATAGATTTAAAATACATCTTTATTTTATATCAATTACACACATTTAAAACTGAATTCTAGAAAACTCATTCCAAATCAATGCGATGTTAAAAAATGTCTATTTTGACAGTTATTCACTTACCGTTCTAGAACGGTAAGTGAATTACTTACCGTTTTGTTTGCCTTAGCAACCAGTAAGCGCATCCTACTGTCGTAGAAACAAACATGGTAAGTGAACTAAAAAAGCTTGATCGTGCAAAAAAATAATTGAGTAAGAAGATCCAAACAATAAAACACAATGTTATAAAGAATAACAAAGACGATCAATGGTAGAATTGGACACATTGGAATAAAACAAGGCGATGGAAGAAAAATTACCACAATAAATAGGTAACTTCAAATGTTACAAGAGTAAATATAAATAACATGCAAAACCTCCAAAATCATAAAAAATTAATGATTTGAAAATAAAAATAACTCAGAAAAACTAGTGACAATGACAGTAAAATTAACAGTTTAATATCATCCATACAGGAAAAAAAGATTTCTTGGAAACAAAAGTATACGTTCCACAGTTTTGTGTTGTATTCAATAAAGTGTAGAAAATTTAAATCCTCTGGGAGACAGAATGGGTCAAATTTCTTCACCTCTGAATTTTCAAATATTCAAACTTTAGTTACACATTTGCAATAAAAAAATCATAACTACTATAAAGATAACTCCAAAATTACTAAGTTTTCGGTTAAAATATAAGGGATTTTTTTTTAGAATTACTATTAAGAATGAAATGGATTGCTTGAATTGTCAAAATTTTCGGTAGCGGAGTCGATATTCTGGGTTTCTTAATATTTTAATATTTTTTAGATGTCACCAGCTCAAGTTTCATAAATCTACGTCAAACGTCACACATGTTTTAAAAACTTTAACATTTTGCAACCGAAAAACAAGCACTTTCGGAATGTTCATGCGAATATACTTTTTAGTTTAATAAACACTACATCTACTAGAACTTTTTACCTTTTTTTATGCTTTTTTTTGTGTGCTCTTAATAATATCTGTAATATTGTACAGTCTTAAAACATAAGAGAAATTTCGTACCATTCTTCTCGCACCTCCTGTGGACGCTGTTAAGGTGCTTGCGCCCATATTGCTCATGGTCCTGTTTATGCTTCTGCTTGTAGTCGTGCTTGCGCTGCTCCATGTTGCTTTGCTTCTTGCATTTGTACTGTCTGTAAAGGTTCATGCAAATAAGAGTATCTACATTGTATTTCAGTATTTGCGTTTGTGTCGAGCCACACTGCTCCAGTCGTCGTCAACTGTGATCGTATTAATTGGACGAACTGTTGAAATAAGTGTCTGGGTCGATGCCGTCAGATCTAAGAAAGGGTGCTTCAAAAAGAGTCGCAACTTACAGAACCAATGTTGTCCAGAGAACAACACAACGCAGTCCTCGATGTGTGTACGGCTGGCTTTATAATATTCCATATACCCGACACGGATGCAGGCGACTGCTCGAAAACTGCGGCTAGACCCAGCTGCTGTACATCGGCGCTCCGTCCATGCGTGTCATCACTCAAAATTCGTAATATGTCGCATGCGGCGGGCAATTTAACGCAACGTGCAACCGCAAAGTAAATACGCTCTGTTTACTTCCGATCCACATCCACGCGAATTGTTTTTCGACAGATGAATCGTGCCGATGTGATGAAATGCGTTCAAATGTGTTATGTATGAGACAAATGTTATAAAATGCAATAAAACGGGATATTTCGCGTTAGTGTTCGGTAGAAAGATATCGTGTTTTATTTACCTAACACAAAAGTGAGTGAATATTGGGTTTGAAATTGAATTTGGATGTGTTAGGTAACGGGTGGTTGTTACCTCGGATCCACAATGATGAGAATACCGTTAACTAACTATATTGATTTATATAGTATTGTTCACTAATCAAGGTTACGGCAAAAAAACAGTTAATATTTTTTAATTCCTTCACCCTCTCCAATAGTTCCACTATTTTCATATAATTCCTAAAATTGTCTTTAGACAAGATCTAATACAACCTTGTCAATACTTGTATTTTGAAATACAATGTTTCCTAAGAATTCGAAGTACTAAGCCTATAATAATACAAACAGAGGATTCCTAACTCATAACTAAAGCGATTGCTACAATTTAGGATACCAAGCTAAAATATTTTGAAGGTTCGAAGGTGGGATGAAAATTTTCTTTTCTTCTCCAATCCTCGGCATGTGTCAAATATACCTGGATGGCATTGTGTGATCGAAGACTTGCCTCTGATGGTGGTAGAAAGACATTTGTGTTCTCCGTAACAAATACAAAGAATGGTAAAACTATTTATTCGGATCAGCCAATTCGAAAGGTAGACGATTTTCGCTAGTGACACAACAATGTTACATACGGCCTTTAATCAATTTTGGTTTATCTAAATTCGAAAATGCAAGTTATGACAGGAAGATTGTTTCATATTTTCAATACACTATAATTTCGTTGGCGACACCCACCGAACGATTTTTGCAGACGTTTTTACGTTAAAAATTCGTGACCTTATCGAATTAGTTTAAAAAATTGCCTACGCCGCAGAGTGAAACACACCCAGTCCAGATAACCCCACCCATTTCATATCGCAGGTATCAATAAATCCTCTCCATTGTACATTTTAATTCAACACGACCAACATGGACAATTACATTACACCCGCAGCGCAAAATTTGCATTCCGCTCAGTTAATATTTCAAGGCATGATTTATGAGTCGACTTCGCTAAGCTTTTAAGCTCACCACCTCTCATGCACTGCCCGTAAAAATCGCTAAATTGCAATCTCCCATTATACGGAACGTTCCACAACTGTTCTCTTTGTCTAAATTCCCTAGTTTTTATCGAGACTCTAAACGAGGCTACATAAAATACGGGATTAGAGCAATTACTTTCAGTAATATATCGCTATTGTTATATTTTGCAGCAGGTGATTATCTTCATTATTGTTGCAGTCGGGTGGGATTTTTGCTATCTCAGTCGTGTTTCATTATTATGGAGCGGGCTTAGGATATCAGAAATAAAACCACTGTTAACTGCTATATACAGGGTGTTTCCTAAGTACAGTCTCCAACTTCAGGACACAATTTCTTATGGTATTTAAATAAAAACAGTGCCTATAAACATGTGGCCGGAAACGCTTAGATACAGAGGTGTTGAAAATTTAAAAAAATATATTAATATTTGGAATAAATTTGGAACAATCTTACGTTTTTAAAATTTGGCAGTTATTGTACGCTGATAAAGAGCTACATTTTTAGTTTAAAGCCAATTTTTATTTTTTCGTCATAAAATGTAGAACGCTAATGGATTTTTTAAAATTTTTATCAGTTTCGGAATTGCTTAACATTTTACAACAAAAAAGGTGTCTTGAATATTTTGCCTAATACTAACTTGGTCTTAGAAAAATCCAGGAACTACAGACAATAAGCATAGAAATAATCAGTTTCGACACAAAATCAAAGATGTTGAAAATGGCCACCTTCTGATAAAACGCACGATTCCAATCCATCACTGATTGTCTCACTCGTTTTGTATGATATCACAACTTTGAATTGTTCGATTTCGTAACCCGTTTTCATCTAGTACAAGTGTCTTATACACAAGGATTCAGATCAAGACTGCGAGTTGGCCAAGCCTGAGGACCTGCGCATCCAATTCAGCGATTAGGAAAGGTGTTGTCGAAGTACTGACGAGCAACATGGCTGAAATGAGCTGGTGCGCCGTCGTACATAAGTCAGAAATTAGCTCTTATATGTAGAGATATATCTTCTAATAAAACGTTTAGTTCTTCGGCTAGAAACTGCCTATATGAGTCACCAGTTAATTGAGCTGGTAAGAAGTATAATCCCTATCCATTCAGCGAAAATGATTGCTGAAAACGACCATATTTTATTGCATCCGGATTTTCGTCCGTTCAAAAATGTTCATTATGAAATTTAATAATTGCTTCTCGCGAAATAGTTGCCTCATCAGTAAATACAAATTCCGTTAAAAAATTGTTATTTTGTGTCACTGTATGGAGTAACCACCTACTAAAATCTAGTCTTGGCTGAAAATCACGGAGCAACAGAGCTTATGCCCGTTGTATGTGATACAGGAATAGCTGACAAACTTTCAAAAC